AAAGTACTTTGTATGCATAACTGGGTATTTTTCTTGTACTCATCAACTTAGTAATTAAGGTGTCGAAAACATCATTATCCTGACCATTTGGGTTTTCAAGCCACTCATTGGGTCTATTTTTCAGCAAGAAATTATACTTTCGTCTGTCCGATTGAGGAATATCAAAATCCAAGATTAATTCCTCAAACAATTTATAACCAGAAAAAAGGTGGATTCAATTAATCATCAACTGATCGAATATTATTTTGATACCAGATACCATAATAAAAGTTACTCTTAGATTTTGAACGAATTTGTCTATTAAACCATAACATTTGGCAAGTGCCAATATCAGAATATTTACAATCAATGATATCCTTCGTAGCCTCTTGTCTAAAAATGTACCACGAACGTAAACATTCTGCAACTTGAGTATTACCCAAAGCATTCAGAATACTTTCAGGAGCATATGATTTCCATAAAATATCTGTTTCTTCATGAAATTTTTGAAGAAATGTTAATTCAATTAATTTCCACATACTTTGAAAGTTCCTATCAACTAAATATTTTACACATACCATTTTTTGTGCAATTGAAAACATATATGGATCAATCATTCGGAGGCCACAGGACTCTAAATCATTACACATCACTTTTCTTTTAACTCTATCCTTGCCTCCATTCCAGATAAATTTATAAAATATACTGTTCAGCTTCTTAAAAAACTTTTTGGGAATCTTGATACAAAGAACAGAAAAAAGATACAATAATTGTGTTAAAACAAGACACTTAATAACACAAATTTTACCAATTAAAGATAGATTCCTCATTCTCCAACAGTTAACTGTTTGTTCAATTTTTTTCAATTTGTCCTTATAGTTAAGATCAAACATTAAGTTAACATTCAGTGAAAAGACTATTCCAAGGCACTTAAACTGAGATGTTTTCCATAAAATTCCTCTCTCAGCAAGTGGAAAATCCTGACAACCTTTTTTGGACCCAATCCAAATAGCTTCCGACTTAGTCGGGTTAATTTTACACCCTGAATGTGAACAAAATGTGTCAAGTATCTTAAACAAATTCTCAAAAGAATTGTCTGATCCATCAAGAAAACAAACAGAATCATCTGCCAATAAAGAAATCTTAGCCTCTTGATTCATTACAGAAATGCCCTTAATGTCTTCATTTTGTCTGATCAGAAGAGCCATTATCTCAATGACAAATACGAACAGGTAAGGAGAAATGGGACATCCTTGAAATATTCCCTAACAATAGAATTGTTCGCTATGGTGTCTTCAAACCGGTATACAGTAAAGGAAGTTCTGAGAGGTACTCATCAGATGGAAAAGGACACTGGTACACGCATATCCTGCCGACGGTGGGGTGCGGGCGGCGTATTTTTTATTTACACGGCAGCGAGGGGAATTTCTCGATTAATTCCAATGAAACCGCTCGCCAGAGTCTAGGACTAGACCAAATCGGGGTACGAGTACAGCAGTGTATTAGGGACTTTTAGATTGAGTGGACGAGAACACGACGAACGCCGACTGATCATGCGTGTCAACGTATTCAACTGCCCACGTTGACTACAATTAGAAATCGTTTAGATTGCACTCGACGATGTACATGCATGCAGGAAGTAACACTATGAACATGACGAACAAAAAAAGAGGACAAAATAAACAGTTCCTCATTCTATCCTCAACAATAGACCATTTTCGTAATGTAACCACATTTAATGCACAAGTCTTTGTGGAGTGCCTCAATACAAATTATTTCAATCACCTGATAAGAATAATAGCAATTCAGTAGTCAGAATGCAAACTGCATATATCAAGTGTTGCTAGGTAGGTCAAGCCATAATGTTTTTCCAACCTGGCAACAATTAATGTATGCAGTTTGGATTATGTCTATTGAAATACTACTATTCTTACCAGGTGAATGAAATAATTTGTATTGAGGCACTTCACAAAGACTTATGCATTAAATTTGGTTACATTACGAAAATGGCCTATTGCTGTGGTAGAACATCCCTTCACTGCTCTTATGTAAAAATGTGTAGAACAGGTGAATATGCATGTGACACCTGTTCTACACATTTTTACATAATAGCAGGGAAGGGATGTTCCTTTGTCTACCTGAGGAACTGTATATTTTATGCGCACGCGGCATATACTAGTACTGTACTAGATTTAGGAAAATCAAGGTTGACGCATTCTCGATCGCCGACTGAGACGACGTGACGCATGCGCAGTGCCTTAAAATGACGTCACACGTTGCAGTCAAAGCTGTCGACGTGCAAATCTAAAAGTCCCTATTATAAAGGGAATTGTACTTAACATGTAGATCTAGAGAAGGAAACGATGAAAGACATCTAAAAGAAAACAAGAAAACAAAATAGTCTAGATGTCTTATGCAATAAACAGTGACGGCAGTATGATATTACATGCGACACCATGACACAGAAAAATCGAGAGCGTGAACATAATATACATGCCCTCGGCCACGTACCAATAACACAGAGTACATCGACAACACAAGTCATATTCAGTACAGGCACAACAGACTAGACTCTCCGCGAGCGGTTTCATTGGAATTAATCGAGCTTTCCCCCTCGCTGCCGTGTAGATAAAAAAATACGCGTGCGGGCGCGCGCGGGGCGTGAAGTTAGCGACCGTAATGATGATTTTAATGCCGATATAGCTGATATTACGGTCACTAACTTCACACACGTGCACGCCCGTCCGTCCGTATTGTGAGGTGGGTTGTCGAGAAACCTATGAGAAAGTTGTTATTATAATGTCTTCCGTTTTAGTAAACAACAAATATCAGACAAATTGACACGAAAGCGGTGAGAAAGATAACGACTTTTAAATCATGACCATTTTTTGAACAATAAAATGTTGAAGAATAATCCCGAATTGTTAGTCAGTCTACCTCTTTCTCTCTCTCCCTTCATTCTTAATTTCATTTTCTCTCACCCCCCCCCCTCTTATTCTCTTTCTCTCTCATTTTACTATCCTATTTTTCTCAACTAAAATCCCTTCCATTCATTCCTTGTTAGTTACTCCTAGAAGGATATCTTACTGTTCAAATAGCAATCCAAAATGAGATGCCTAACTTTCAAGTCGCCTAAATTTCTGTGGCAGACATTTTTTTTATTCTTAGCTGATTACATATTCTAAAAGAAGAGATTTTCAGCTTTTTGTTGGTATAGGTCACTTGCCGGGGCAAGATGCCTGGACCTTACTGTTTAACTTTAATATCTGCTCTGTATTCTGAAAATGTTCTGTTTTTTCCGAACAATAGCGTCATATCCTGTTCAAATAGCAATCCAAAATGAGATGCCTAACTGTCAAGACGCCTAATTTTTTGGCCGACATTTTTTATTCTTAGCTGATTACATATTCCAAAAGAAGTGATTTCCAGCTTTCTGATGGTATAAGTCACTTGCCGGGGAAAGATGTCCGGACCTTACTGTTTAACTTTGATCTCGGCTCTGTATTCTGAAAATGTTCTGTTTTTCCGAACAATAGCGTCATATCTTGTTCAAATAGCAATCCAAAATGATTCACCGGCCATAGTGTTCGATGATGCTGCAAGCCTGCAACTGATAAATACAAGGAAAAAGACAATCAAATTTAAGTTTGTGAGCTCAAGAATAATGGTAACAAAAGAACCCTTATCACACTAGATCATGTAGCAGACGCGTACGCAGGGGGGGGGGGGGGTCGAACCCCCCTCCAATTTTTGCTTATGTGTGCGTGTTTTTTGAGGAAACCCCCCTCATTTTTTTTAATAACAAAAATAAATTAAACATTTTTGTGCTAAAGGGTGACCCCAAAAAGGTAACCTTACCACCACCTGAACGAAATATCGGTCTGCCAAATGTTCATATTTTCGGGAAAAAATAAAGAAAAAAGGTGCTCTAATCACCCCCCCCTCCCGCTTATTTACCAGCTAGCTGAGTCGATGTGAAATTTTCAGCGCGATTTTCAAATTTTAACCCCCCCCCCCCCTCCTCGAAAAAATCCTCCATACGCCCCCGTCATGTAGATCCTCAAGTTGAGGTCATCGATATCAGAACATTATAACCAGATCCAGATCGACAAATCTATCGATTTTCATGGCCTTTACTTCACTTTTTTACATTTAATTGCCATCACCATCTAACTGTCGGCCATTCTAGTAGATCCTATTCCAATATCAATTATGTATAGTCTATAGGATCTATTCATATTTCCTGAGACATAAGTCTCATTTTACTGTAAATTTGGTTAACTTCTGCCTAAAACACGAGTGTTTAGCAGCTTATAACTTATAAGGCAATCAGTCTACTTAAAATGCACACACAATTGAACATACGGGACAAAATATAGATCTAGGCTAGACCGAAAGCTTCAGTCTCTATATCGTCGGTTGTTCCACTGAGACTACGTCTGGCTCTACTAGACCTCCGGATATACAGACTGAACGATCGCCTATGCCATCGTACGTTGAAGATAAACTCTACGGGTATACGATAAGACGATACTGCCCTGACGCTAAGTTAAATCCTTTTTTTTTTTTTATAATCGCATGCACTACCATACAAAAAGCATTTATAACTAAACCACCCATGATAAACATTAAGAAAATATGTACCTTGGACCTCTGCATATGAAATCTTCTTCAAAAAAGTGTTATTATCTCTTCTACTTGACTGTCTTCATCTGTCTTCAGACGTCAGCCATCTTGAATCAAAATAATGAATATTCATGACAAAGTTTTTTAGTCTCCACCCCATTGACCTCATTCATAGACGTGCGCGTATGTGCACGTACATGTACATCTCGCATCGTTTGAGTTCTCGTGTTGTCTGCTTCACTTGCGCGCGCTATCCTCGACGTGCCGCGCGGAGGAGCTAGCCGAGGCGAGGTCAACCATCTCCATTATCGTATTTGAATATTCATTAGCCGCCATTTTGTTTTATGTCGGTCAGAATCATAGAGATATATACTACTAACACTAGAGGGCGTACTCGCTCAAATTGCTGTTCCGAGATTGAGCGTTGGCCGCCATTACTAAGGAGGGCAGAAAAACGAACGACCCAACAAGATACTGTGCACAACATACGTGGAAAATTTGAAGAAGCCAGGTTCGTGCGTTGCATTTGGTTGTTCGAACCGAAGAAAGAAAGGGAACTGCATAATATTTCACAAGTAAGTTCTTCTGAATGTTATGTTGATTAAATAAGGAGATTTTAGAGCTAAAAATGTAGTTTATGCGGGTATTGTCTCATGACAAGCCACCGCAGTGCAGCGCAGCTAACGTTCCTGCAGTGCTCAGCGGAGCGCGCCAGTCCACGCCCGCCGGGCTGGCGCAGGCATGGGTCAAGGTTCTGGGGACGGTGATGGGAAAATTTAGACTAGACTCTAGATCTAGATATAAATACTCTAATTTCTAAAGCCCGAAAGGCAAAGATAGGCTAGTCTGCCATATTTCACATCACAGGAGTTATCCAACTAGGCTAGGCTAGCTTAAAAAGCCCACCGCACACTACACTATTTCTATCAAATTTGCTTATGACTTGCTGACATCATTATTAAATACTGGTTCGCGATTGGCTGGAAGCTGCTTTCAGTTTCAGTCTTAAAAATCATATGAAATAGCATGAATAGTAGAACAATTGTCATGTTATGAGAAAAAAACTCATCATTGTTTCCATTTGCTTTTATTGTAATGCAGAAATACACCCAAGAGAGGAAAAGGATGTTACACACCACTCCTTCCTAGTGCTGTGCCTACTGTCTTTCCTGGACATCCTCCCTATAAACAGACCCATGACTCAAGACTCACAGCAAAACCATGTACAACATCCGAAAGTGTTCCCGTGCCTACAAAGAAACCCTATGACATTACAAAAGAACATGACTATTCTTTTTTGTCTGAGTTGATCAGAAACTGAAGATAACCAGACAGCAACTGCAGGATGCCAAGAAACAGCTTCAAGTGGTGAAACAGAAGGTAAACAGGAGAGATGGAAAAACCAGGACTCTCTTGCAGGAAGTCCACGAAAGCAAGCTCATTAGCCAGGATCAGCTCGACCTACTTCAACACAACTTTGGAGAGAACGCATTTACAGAAAACCCCAATTTTGTCTTATTTCATCAATATTTGTTTTCAAACATATTTGTTTATGAAAACCTACAGAATGTTAAATGGCATCCTATTTCACATTATACAATTTAAGTGAAATTTTACCATCAAATTTTGGGGGCTCCAAACACTTTAGAGGGGCTTTAATATACATGTTCCAGCATTTTACAAGTTTCAAGTAATTGTAGGACATGACGTCTAAATTCACATCACAGGGATTGTGTCTGGTGTGGATTGGCTACGATGTAAATAGGCTTTCTTGATCTGGAGAATGATACTATAGTGACATCTTGTGTTTTACAATTACAACTGTTCTGTAGTCTATACACTGTTGCAAATGTTAAGGAGACCAGGGCTTAAAGCCCTTCTTGAAGTCAGGAAAACCTGTTTTTTCTCTTTTTATAGTGAGCAAAATTTCTCAGTCTATGCAAAAAAGAAAACATAGAACTTAATTTGTACAAACTACAGAGACAGGTCAGTCTTTTATATTTTGCCTCTTGTCTGCATAGCTTATCCACTGGATGATTGACTGTGAAGCCATTTAAAACTGGAGAGAGCTTTCAATAATATTCAAGAAAAACAGAACAATCTGAGACTTTTGTTCTGCGTAATGAAATAAAATTCTTGGGACACATTGTGACAGTTGCACAACTTAACCATAATGTTCTGTTCGTTAACTTTACACGAAGGCAAACTAAAGTGGAACTTAGAAGAGTCGATTACATTAGGGGTAAAAAATATGTACTTGAACTTTGAGTTGTTGTGAGGTACACTGTATTTGAATATTTACTCTATAAGCTTCATAATTGTACCTGCTGTATCTGAATCAGTTGCTCTAATGTTTGCAAATTATTTGCACTCTACATGTGCTTTGATTCTGCAGGTTTAGATAACCTGAGATTAACATGTAAACCTTTTTTATAACATTGTCTGGATTGCTCTCAACCAAGTGATTTGCATCATTGACGATGAAAAGCAAGAAATTCACATCAAGTGAGCCACGTTTTTGATAAAGTAAACGAGGAGAATTCACAGATGTGTGGCAATTGAAAAGCTTTGTGTACTGCACAGTTGCACACCTTATACACACCCATAGATCTTTTTTGTACATAGGTTTGAATTTGGCCCAAAATGGAAAACTGCTTTTGAAGAGATTTGATAACAGAACAATTATATGGAATAATGTCACTAGATGTAAACCCATAAGATTGTGCACTCTTTTGTTAGGCCTATCTATATCTACTGTGTAAATTTGAGGGTAATCAGTTTCAAAACTATTATTATTCCCTGATGAATAATGATGTCAAAAGACCTTGTTACTATGAGGTTTCACTGAATGGTGTATTGCAGTATCCTGAGATGTAAGTGTCTTCAATTATAGTTCTTCATAGCAATACAGGTAACTTGGAATATATATGCTCAATTACTATTTCTGGTTTGCATTTATTTATTTTATTATTCGATGAAATGTCTTGTAATTAGTAAATTTGGGGCTAAAATCTGAGATGTTGTTTTTGCAATGTCTGTCCTTTCAATTGTGATGTATTATAGCAGTATATAACGTCCAATAAAATGTCAAAACTTAAATGCCTATGCTGTAGAATATTCAACATACGTGTGGTAATAAAAGGTTCATTTATTCATTTTTTTTCTTCAAATCAAATTATCTTAAATATATTCTCTAAAAACTGGTTGATGAAGAAAATAAGAAATATACTGTATCAAGGAGAATATTATTTATTGTGAAAAAAGTGGTGTGAATAAATAATTATTACATCAATGATCAGCTGTTTTTAAAGAATATTTATTTCTAGTGAACTGTAAAAAATTGAATTATTCTTTCAGACATATAGAGATTTTCTAAAGAATAGGTGAAAGACAGAAGGTGTGAATTTGATATAAAATGAGTGAGAGAAGAAGAAAAAGAATGTTTGAATGAATGATTGAATGAATGATTGGATGAGTAAATAACATAATTTTTTTTAATAAATGTGTATAATACTTTCCTTCCCCCTCTTCCTATCTTCAGTATCGTCCTATATCTGCATTTCCGTTATCTACCTATCCTTCTATATTATATCTATCTATCCATCTTATTATGTGTCTAGCTATCTATGTACCCATCTCTATCCAAAATATATAAGTATAAATCTATAAATCTATAAACAGATTGCAGTTTATAATAGCCATAAACATGAAATGAATATATTACCTTTAAAGCGTTTTAAATCAATAAACCCTGGCTCTCATAATAACTGAATTAGAAAGACATTGGCCCTGCAGCATAAAACTTTGTTTAATATCATGACATAAATATCAAATACAAGTCCCAAATGCTTGTTCTAATTGTTTGAAAGCCAAGTAATATTTGATGTCATTATATCACAGTTTGTGTCCCTTTTACCTCACCATAACACCCGTAATTAATCTTGACTACACCAGATACCATGACTGAGGCATGAGTAGGGTTCATGCATTATGCAAAATATCACAATTATAACGTTTCATACTCGAAAACTGAAAAATCAACCCCAAATATGAAGCTTCATATTGCATATCAGTAACACAGTTTCGAAGGAACATCCGGGTATTTCTCGAAGTTTTGCCCTCCTTAGTAATGGCGGACCGCGCTCCATGCGCGCACAGAGTTTTGAACGGGCGCGTATGACGAGTCCGCTCTCTAGCCTTATTAAGTATATATCTCTATGGTCAGAATGCTCAGGCGCGGATCCAGGATTTCTTAGGGGAGGGGGCCCAACTTTTTTTTTTTTTTGCTCCCGAAAATTTAAAAAACGCGCCGGCCGAAAAGTCGCTCAGTGGGGGGGGGGGGGGGGGGGGGGGGGGGGGGGGGGGGGGTACAGAGCAATTTTTTTTCATTTTTTTTTTTCATTTTTTTGCTCCCGAAAATTTGAAAAACGCGCCGGCCAAAAATTCGCTCAGTGGGGGGGGGGGGGGGATCCGCCACTGAGAATGCTTGACGTGGGCAACGAACTCAAACTTGGATTTCGATGGACGTGGGTCATCGAGAAGCAGCCAAAAGCTCGGTAAGTCCTTTTATTTCTTTTATTTTTCGTTTTCGTGGGGAAGGGGGGTAAAAAAGGGAACTTTTAGGGACTGACAATTGCTTAGAAAATTACTGCAATTGAAGATAAATGATGTATTTCCCCTAAGTTTGTGATGTTTGTGGGAGGGGCCTAACGGCTAAAATCTAGCCGTGATATCTTCAACATACGATGGCATAGGCGATCGTTCAGTCTGTATATCCGAAGGTCTAGTGGAGCCAGACGTAGTCTCAGTGGAACAACCGACGATATAGAGACTGAAGCTTTCGGTCTAGATCTAGGCCTACATTTACTAAAGTTGGACCCCGGCCCACTCCTATTACGTTGTCTTATCAGCTTTATTCGTCATAAAAATGAATAACCACAAACTTTGGTTTCTTACCGTACAAATGATACTGGATTGAAAGAAGATCACTGCAGAATAGCGGATTATGTACAAGATTACGATGTTGCCTCAATAAGTAAGTATCCCGTTGTTTGCAACGGGACACCTGATCACGGCGAAGGTGAAAATGTACTAGAATTATGTCCCGGCATGCTTTGCGATGAATCAACCGTGAAGGCATGTACTTTACTAACTTTGTGGCGTGCGCCTGTAATGCACATGCGCGTATGCAGTCATGACAACAATCTAAGTACCCTGGATCCAGAGCTGTCGGAACTACACACTAAGAAAAAATGGTGCAACTATGCACCTTTAGGGGTTCAAACAGATGCAACAATAGCAGCACCTTTAGGGGTTAAATCCTGCACCCTTTTTAAAGGTGCAATCCTGCACCCTTCAAAAGGGTGCCAGATTGAACCTTTTGGGGGAAATGTTAGTACCCTTTATGGTTCAATCCTGCACCTTTAGGGGTGCAAACCGATGCAACAATAGCATCACCTTTAGGGGTTAAATCCTGCACCCTTTAGGAGGGTGCCAGAATGCACCTTTTAGGAGACATGTTAGTACCCTTAATGGTTCAATCCTGCTCCTTTAGGGGTGCAAACCGATGCAATAGCAGCACCTTATTAAAGGGGTTCAATCCTGCACCCTTTACAAGATGCAATCCTGCACCCATCATCGAGGAATATTCGTGACATTTGCTCGTACACATATACATATTAAACATGCATGATGTTTCTTGGTTAGTAATCATATAATCAATATATATATTGTTAAAACGTGAATGTAATTGTAACATGATCAGACAAAATAATCTATTGGTTAATGATTGCCGAAGGAAAATACAAATCACAAAATTGATGTGCATTGTCATAATTTGCTTAACAAATCATATGATAAATGTATTTTTATGTGAACACGTGGAAAGTAAACATGAATATGCATGCAATATGCAAACTTTTATTTTGCACCTTTTTGGGTTTTTAGGGTTCATTTTTGTGGGAAGGGTGCAAAATCTTATATTGCACCCTTTTTTGAACCCTTTTTGAACCCCTTTTCCTTCAATAGGGTTCATTTTTATGTAAAGGGTGCAAACTCTTATTTTGCACCCTTTTTTGCACCCTTTTTTCTTAGAGTGTAGGGTTGGGTATTGGTATAGCAGAGAAGTAGATTGGTGGACTGATAAGAAGATATGTGTTCAAGTTTCCTACGAAATGCTTTGAGTATACCGCATTAGTTTGCATCTTGGTTGCAGGACAGGTTGTTGCTCAATTATGGCACAGTAATTCTGATTTGTGTGGGCATTTAAGTGGCTATCAAGTCAGTTCGAAATACCATTAACCAGATTAGATGTATACAAAAACTCTTTTTTTCCACGCACAACCAGAGCATGGAATGATCTCGATTCTACAATAGTATCCCTGACTGACTCAGCAAAGTTTAAAGTAGCACTCCTTCCAAAATAAGTCCACCCTCTGCCACCACGACCTCCAGTTTAAATTCCACTAGGAATCTTTTGGAGGAACAACAACCAAGTTCCAAGTACCAAGCTATGAAATTTCTTGAGATGGATTATTTGGCCAAAAGTGAGGGTCCATCCTGATATTGATAGAAAGTTTTTGTTTGTTTTTGTTTTAAGAAGAGCAGAGATATGTGTTAAGTGCCAATATATGCTGTTAATGAGCACTTCACATTAGTCGTGCACAGTTGTAGATATAATTAGGGACTTGGTACTAGACGAGGGATGAGTGGTATGTTTGTACAAGGGCTTGTGGCCGATTGCACTTGAGTTTGTCAGCTATCTTTGAAGAATGTTGTAGTGGACTTTGAGGTAGAGTGAAACTTGCTATGATGTAGTTAAAAAATACCTAGAATGAGGGAATGTTCCTTTTGGACAATATGAAAATTGGAAGGATGGGGATGACCATGTTCCTGGTTGTTTGGAGGTGAGAGGACGCATTGCCTAAAGGAAATGCATCCTCTCATCTAGTGACTTCAAATTTGAAACTATTGGATATTTGGAAATGTGTACATGAGCATTGTAAGTACTTACACGAGGTAAACGTAGCTACGTGTCACCTAGGTTTTCCCATACAAGGCTTGGGTATCTCGTACACAGTAAAAACGCTGCTTAAAAAAGTGATGTTCACTTACAGTTGTACACTATCTTAAACAACAGTTGAACAAATTGTAAACAATGTTGCTCGAAACGAAAGTAATTTTGTTAAACATTCGCTGTTTAAAATTTAATGACTGCTATATTTACTACACGAGAGCTTTTAGACAGTGTTGTTTACATATGACGTCATGTGTCACGTGCCAGTAAAGTGCGCGTTGGCTAAAAGTTTTGTTTCACATCATGGCCGACCAAGCTGTAGAGGTGTCGTGGATGAGTGGAAACGTCGCCGGACTGTCAATCACAAGGTCCACGGTTCGAGTCCCGCCGCGGCACTAATGTCCTTTGGCAGCCTAGCATAGCCGGGTAATGTTGGAGCGCCTTGAGGACCTTGCAAGGTCGGTACGTGCGCTATATAAGAATCCAATAGTATTATTATTATTTAACATCAGCTCCTTTTTAAACAACCCAGTTGGTGTAAACAACCCCCACTGAACAACAGCTCCTTTTTAAACAACTTTCTTTAAACAACCCAGTTGGTGTAAACAAGCCCCACTGAACAACAGCTCCGTTTTAAACAACTTTCTTTCAACAACCCAGTTGGTGTAAACAACCCCCACTGAACAACAGCTCCGTTTTAAACAACCGTCTTTAAACACCACCGGTTGTTTAAATTGTGATTTAAAACAAGTTGTTCAAAATGTTGATCAACTAAGTGTTTAAACTTTAAACAACTCGAGTTGCTTAACATTTTAAACAACTCTTAGATCAGGTCACCCGTTAATCCAAAGTTGTTTAAACTTTTAAACAACATGTTCACTAAAATTTTAACTGTGTACGCATCCGGTT